AAATCATGTGATGATAATGGCAAGACATACAAAGACATCAAGTTCTTACCTTACTTTGTTTCTCCCTGAGCCTGGCTCTGTAAGAACAGACTTATAAAAACTAAGCTGTTTTATCTGGTACATGGTAGATTATCTTCAATAGCTAGATAAGAGGGAACAAGTTGACAATTCACAAATGACCGTTGTTGGTGTTGATCTATGAAACAGATGGAAAACAGATTTATGTTAAGCTGATTCTGTAAAATGGCATGTAGCAAAGGAATTTGAATGTGAAGATAAACTTGCAGTTCCATGGTGACACAGAACTACATATTAGAGCGTATTGAGATGTGATTTACTTGTGTATTTATAGGGGGGATTTACGCTATACAGAGATGGTTATTGGAAACCACAGGAACAGAAGTCTTAAAGATAGTAGCTCTTATATTGTTGGATTGAGATAGGTGCTATAAGTACTTATTTTCAAAGCATGAATCAACTCAAAGGTCTCTTTGATTTTTAAAATCCTTTCTCCCATTAGAATTAATATTCAGTTTTAACAGTGTGATCTCAAATAATGTAAAATTTATAACAGCCTTCCAGTACCTAAAGGGGGCTTACAAGAAAGCTGGGCATGTAGTGATAGGACAAGGGGCAATGGCTTTAACTTGGAAGAGAGCAGATTTAGATTAGATATAAGGAAGAAATTCTTCACCCTGAGGGTGGTGAGGCACGGGACCAAGTTGCCCAGAGAAGGTGTTGATGCCCCATCCCTGGAAGTGTTCAAGGCCAGGCTGGATGGGGCTTTGAGCAACCTGGTCTGGTGGAAGGTGTCCCTGCCCATGGCAGGGGAGTTGGAACTAGATGGTCTTTAAGGTCCCTTCCATCCCAAACCATTCTATGAAAATCAGCTTATCTTTCAGGCTGACATAGGTTAGGAATCTTGTTTTGGTAAACAGTCTACAGACCTTCCGAGCAATCATAGGGCTCATACATGTCCTTATTTCAAAGTTTATGTAAAAGTAAATGGGTTTGACTGAGTTTTACTGTGAAAGAGATATATGGAGACTGACCAGATAGGAAGACCAAAGTGTAGATATGTTTCAGTATATCCATATGAATTAAGTTGTTCCATTTCAAGCAGTAATTTACTCTTGGCTTCTCAGGTATAGGCACTTTTTATATTACTTTTGCTGTTGGTAGTCTTTTAGATAAAATATTATACTTAAATAGTTTGGAGACTTAGATGTTGTTATGATCATTGATAGAGGAATCTTCTTATGTAAGGATTAAACTGACTTGAAAGTAAGGCAAGCCTTTTTTCCTCATTTAGCAGATTAGCTGCTAATGCACAGAATTCTCTGTACCAAGTAAAAAAAAAACAAAGAAAGTGTATTTTAATGACTTAAAAATTCTGTGAAGTGTTCGTATGACAAGCACCTTTTCTTGTAAGTCAATGACAGGTCTTTTTGTAACCTTTGTATTGGTTTAGTAAAACTAGACAGTCATTCTTATAATATGCCATTATAATTTGTATGCACAATGAGGGTCATCTTGTCTATGGCAGACAGCAGTCTCATGCATTTTAAGTACAAATTTGTATTTCTGTGGTCACTGAAACATTTCAGTCAGTAACAGTGTTGAGTTGGCTGTACCAGTGTCATATCTGTAAATGCAGATGTCTCTTTACAGAACGCTCAAGAATCATGGTTCTCAGTCACTTTTATTTTTGTGTTGGTTGTAGGTTTACTTTTACAACTTTATCCATAGCAAATCCTTCTTCATATTAGATAAGTTTGATGTTTAAGCTACTATGATAAAGGGTAAAAATGAGTTATAAATACCAAAAGGTAGTTAATACTGTTGGCCTTTTCTGGGTCAATGTGTGTCTAGGAAATGTATCTTTGCTTATGAGCGCTCAGTGTTAACAGAGGGTATCAGAAATATGGGTACAATTGAGTGCAAAATCAGGATGCTCCTAGAAATGTATGGATTTAAGATGCAGACAATGGAAATAGGCTAGTAGTACTTCAATGTTGCAAGAATATGAAAGGTGGTGGCTTTTTGCTAACACCAAAAAAAAGTTTAAAGACTACAACATCAGCTCCAATTGGATTGAGACTGCAAAATGAATACTATATTATTTTGCTGAAAATGTCAGCTTTTTGCACTCTGAGTGATACCAAGCAGTCCACCCAGTTAGCTTTTCTCTGTAGGGAAGGAAATTTGATCAAACTGGAGGTGGTATTATGGCTCTAATAGTTACCACTCATTTCTTAAGGCACAGCTAAGTAACTGAACTCAATGTCTATACGTCTCACTTTACACCATGCACGAGTTTTCCTTTCAGATTTTTAGGTTAAATGTTAATTTCCCCTTGCTTCCAATAAAACAAGAACTGATACTTCATTTTCCTGCACTTACTATTTATAGAAACCTATAGAAATTACTCCTTTGGGTTTCTCTCTCGGATCTGTTCAAGTCTACAGCCGTTGCCACAGTAAGGGTTGGGTCTGCTATTACAAAAATACTAAAAAGCTCCCTCCAGGAGAGTTTTTGCTCTGTATTGGGAATTGGAAGCAGGTGTTAACTAGGCAGGTGTATCTTGTCTTTATTCTAAAGACAAATAAACAGATAGCAAGGAAGGGGGGAAAGTGAAGCTTGTAGAGCTGGGCTTGGGGGATATTGGAAAAAGTTATGCACAGAAGACATAACTAGTTATGGGAGTTCACCTATAGGCTGTGGGGTAGCCAAAAAGCAGCTGTGTTCTGACCATGTAATTAGAAAGTTACAACAGAGACTGAAATATTATTCAGGCCATTTGATAACTTCTTCAATAGAGCTTTTTCCCCTTTTCTTCACAGACTTGGGCTTTGCAGGCTTGCTATTTGTTTTATTATTACAGGTTTACTGTTCAAAGACCACATAACTTAGGAAAGAATAGGGATCACGTTATTTTTATCACATGGACAAATATATCTTAAAAAGAAAACTCAGTCATGCAAACCTAGCACTTACAAGACTTATATGGATAAAAATGACCTGTGTAAAACTACATATTAGTACTTGAAAGAATCTGGAACTAACATACTGTCACAAATAACATTCTGTATCATATGAGTCATGGTGAGATATTTATTACTGAAATCAATGAGAAGTAAATGAAATCTGTCAAGAAATGTTTTAATACTCAAATTTTTGCAACAAAATAAACTAGATTTTTTTTTTAACACTTAAGTTCTGCATGAAGTGCATCTAAAAATAGTGTCCATTTTCATTCTTTCAAATTGAAATACATTCTGGGACCAGCACAAAAACTGATACCAGGATACCGCATCAGGGGTCTGATCTATGAGCTTTTGATTAAGTTCTTTCTAGGCATCAGACAGGGTTAATCTTGAAGTTGGGAAGTGTTGAAGATACTAAATTCCCCTCTTCCCCCCGCCCCCTTAAACTTCTTACATTCTAAGCATTTGTAAAAAATTTTTTTTGTCATTCTAATGAAAATCTGTGATTACAGCTACTGTTCATCATTTATTTTAAAGAAAAGATTTTTCAGTTGTTAGGGTCATATGTTATGATTTTTTTTTTTTTTGTATTGCTGCCAGCGCAACAAACATTATGGTTTTACATACATTTGTAAATAAAGGATAGGCCCAGTGCAACACTGGCAGGTCACCTTTAGTGAAAGGTTTCCTGTAAACAAAATACCAGAATAAATGCAAACAAACCAGGGAATAAAATGTAGGCTCATGTGGAAGTTATATTAAGTATTCTTGGTGAATTGCGATGTACGCAGCAGCCACTGCATGTTATTCAGAGCTGCTGACAGGGACACTGAAACAAGCCTGCTGTACAGGTGCTAGATTTTGATTTAATAAATAGTCTGTACAGTATCAAACTATATAAAAAGTTTAAAAAGTACAATGAGAATTATTATATTTTAAAAATTTTTTATATTGTAAAAATTTTAAAATTAGGTCCAAACCACCATTAAAAAAGATATGAAATGTGCAACTTTGCAAGTGGAAATAAGGGGCACAAGAAGGGTTCCATAAGGGTTAATAAGAGTTGCTTTGTGATTTTTTTTCTTTGTTTCCAGTATCTTCGTATACCTGGTAATCACACAGTTCTCTTCAGGCAAGTAGGACGTGAGCTAAAAGTATCATCACTGATTTCAGTAGGGAAGATCGGCTGCAATAAGGAGTAAAAGGCTATTTTAAGAGACAAATGTACAGTACAGTCTATTTATGTAAATACTTGGAAAAACACAGGAACAAAGTTGTTTTTAAACTACAGAGCTGTGAAATCAGTCAGCCATATGGCTCTATAATATATGGCAGAATATTTTAAAATTCTAAACCTTCTTGAAAGAAAACTGTTGTAAAAGTCTGCATCTAGAATAACATGAGTACTTGTGTTTTAACCAAAGCTGCAAAGATTATATATTTCCAAATGTACTAAAATTAATATAACTCATTATTTTTAAAAGGCAGTAATCCTTTTCACTTATTTCTCACAAAGCATAGAGAGAGGAACTGGTAATTAAAGGCAATAAAATGGTAGGCAAGATGAAACAGATGGCTGTAACATAATTCTTGAGTCTTAACTGGCACTTAACACTAACTCTACTTACAATTTGACAAATACAATAAGACACCTATGTTGACATACACATGGTGCACTTAACTACTTTTATTTATGTAACTGAGGTATTAAAACTGTCTTGAAAAGCAGATGTCTAAAGAAGAGAAAATTATATGAGGAAGAGAATAGTAGTCATTGTTTTCAGTGTTCAATGATTAGTAGTTGTTTTTTTCTTCCAATATCCTTAACTTATAATTTCCATGCAAAGTCTCTCTCTTACTCCCCCGCTAGATAGGTAGCTTGGGAAGATGGGAGGAAATCCACCATTT